AACGTGAATGCCGTACGCGCAAAGGATAAAAAGAGAAAGCAATATATCAAAAACGCGGGCGCCTCTGCGACGTAGAGTAGTAATCTAGGGTTAAGATTGCAGGAGACATGATCCAACATCGTTTTGGTTGAAGCAGTTTCACGGGTGCAGTACTTGAGACTAATCTTATTCAAAATTCTGTAATTGTGTTCCTTCAGAACTTGCTTATATTTCTTTGTGGCTAAGTCTGGGTTGAGTAAGTCAAGATTGTAATCACCAAATACTATTGTTCGTTTCAATTTATATAATTGTTGTGAATAAATTTCGAGAAAATTATCGATGTTCATTTTATTGGGTTTATAAATAGCACCGACATTTAAAGAAAACTTCTTTACGTATATCCAGAGATAATGGGTGTCGTCTACACATTGTTCCTCAACAAGGTGATGTTTGAGATTGTTGTGTACAAATATTGAGACCCCTCCTCCCCTTTTATTCTGTCTATAATTATAGTAGTGAGTGTAAGAGGGTATCTGAAGCATTTTTGCTTCGTCTTCACTCTTAATCCAGGTTTCCGTAAGTATAATAATATGTATAGTTACTCGCGTGGAGGCAATGACGCATCTAAGCTCGTCGAACTTTCCTGGTTTTACAATGCTGCGAGCATTCGCATAGAAACATTTCAGGGATTTCTTTGTAAAATTTATGTCTGAATAGTCGTCGGATATTTGATACGTCATTTTCTCCTTTGTCGAAGCTAGTTTTTTGAAGATTCATTTACCATTGGCGTGGCTTGTGTGTCTTTTGATTTCATTATTTTTGGTACTCCCTTGATATACTTTATATAAAGATCATTTTCTCCGTTTGAATTGCGATTCATTAGCTCTTCTTTTAGATTTTGGAGATATTTCCGCTGGTATGGGGTTTGGTCCGAGAATACTTTGATATTTTCCTTATCTACCTTATTTCTGTTACGCAGTATGTTCTTCACTGTGGTTTCAGATGAGAAACACACTTTTATTGCACGAGTTTTCTCTGATTTATATTTTCCTAATCGAAATATTTTAGTTGGTTGAGGGCAGTCATTATATATTAGCTGAGTTATTCGAATAACTTCCGTCCTATCATAATTTTGCCGACTCGCTATTATATCGTTTTGAGATTCAGGTATTCCGACAACAACAATATTTCGGGCTCTAACGCTCCGCTCTTCTATTTCAGAGAAGATTTCATCGTACGTTGTAATTGTTTGGGCAGTTTTTAGGTTTTTTACATCTGCCTCAAGATTGTTTACATTCTTTTTAGTAGTCTCAGCAATAACTGATAATTTTGAGAATTGTTCCTTTAGACTGTTATTTTCTATGATAATATTTTGCATAGTACAGCTAATATTATTAACTTCAGCTTTTATTGCAGTAACATTTACAGAGAGTTGATTTATACTTTCAATTTGTTGGTTCCGAGATGACTTTAATAGTTCCATCATATCAGACATTTGTTTTTTTATTTCAGCAATATCTGATATTATCGCTTCATTATCATCGAATAACTTTCGTTTATTACGATGAGTAATTTGTGGTGTAATTTCGCTGTATGATTCAGACAGGTTCGGATAAGATCCATTGCGTTCCGGGCCTATGCCACTTCCAGGCGGTGTTCGTGGTTTGCTCATTGTAGATCTATGTACGATGTACTCACGTGGGAGCTGCGTGTACGCCTCTGTTTGGTGTGAATGGTGCAAAAGTAATATTCTGTCCCTTTTCCCCGAGGGGGTGAAAAGCGGTTACGAGCTCGATGTCACGTTCTCCGCTCGATGCTGAGAGTAAATTCGATGCAAGTCACTCGCGTTTGATTGTGGAATAAGATGTTTTATTCAGGTGCCGTAAGGTTTGTTTTAATTAATTCCGGTTATTATATTTATAAAAAAATATTAAAACACGTCCGCTCTGTGCGCTCACCGGCAGTAGAATAACTACGGCAATACAATTTAATAAAATAACAATATAAAAGTGTAACACAAGAGAGTGAGAATAAAAGATAAAACATTTTATTCGATTCATCCACATTATTTGTGAAATGTCTATCAGCTAGTTTGTCAGTGAAGCTAGGTTACACATATAGAAAGAAATAAAGAAAAACAATTATTTGCAGCATTACAGAAATTAAACAAGAAAAATAGTAAAAAATAAACAGAATAATTTACACGGTGCGAAAAGGCCATATATACTTTTTTTTAAAGATATTGCTCTGCATTATGATTTTGACTCATAACATAACATAAGATTACGCCTATTTATCCCCGAAGGGATAGACAGAGGTGCACATTATGCCACTGTACAATGTAACACCCACTTTACACTATTTATCTTATGAGTCCCATGTAATAGGGGGTGAGCCTATTGCCACATACCGGGCACATTTCCAGACTCCGTGCTACTACTGAGAATTTTTTTAAAAACTTAGTAATACTTCAAGTGTTGCAGAGCCATGCTTCGGCACAAATGGGCCGGCTCGACCGGAGTGATACCACGGCCTCACAGAAAACCGACGTGAAGCAACGCTTGCTTTGTGTTTCGTCGAGTGAGTGAGGTTACAGGAGGCCCAATTACCCTCCCCTTCCCCAATCTCCCCAATTCCTGAATCCCCAATCATCCTCAAACACCTAATCCCCAAATGGCCGGTAACGCATTTGTAACGCCTCTGGTGTTCCAGGTGTCCATGGGGGACGCTGATTGCTTACCATCAGGTGATCCGTCTGCTCGTTTACCGGCTTAATCCATAAAATAACTTAGCCCGACACGGGAATCGAGCCCCAGACCCCTTGCCCGGCAGTCGCACTTGCGACCACTCGGCCAACGAGGCAGTCTTGACTCATATTATTTTATAGATATGACAAAAATCACGTCTTGTAGGAAGTCAGTAGCTAAAGTCTCATTTATCTTGAAACAAAAGTGTCACAAATATGCGGTAATCTTTATATATATAATTCTTCTGTGAGTGTGTATGTCACTAAACTTCTCTCAAACGACTGGACCGATTTTGATGAAATTTTTTGCGTGTGTTCAAAGGATCTAGGAATACAGATGGCGCTGCAGTCGGTGTTTAGGTTATTTATCCTAAACAGCTGAACTAATTTGAATGAATTTTTGTTTATACATTCAAGTGGATATGCAGGACAACGTCTGTCGGGTCCGATAGTATAATATAATACTATGCTGTAGAATTTACGACTTAATTTCCTTTATGGTCTGTCTACAAACATTTCACATCAATTTTGGTCTCACTATAAGTAGTTATAGTGAATCATTTATAATTATTAAGAATTCATTAATATGGCATTTCAATTCACGCTCTACAGAATATTACGGGCATATAAGTTTAAGTAATTTGATATTAATGACTGTCGGTCAAGTGGCTGTATGCGCGACTGACGAGCCATTGATGAGTTTTTGGAAATACTCTACAATAGGTTTAGAATTAAATGGTTCTTCAAGAGGGGAGTGAATAAGTTTCTTAAGGGTCGGCAAGACGCATGTAATGCACCAAGTGTTGCAAGCGTACATAGGCCACGGTAACCGCTTACCATCAGGTGGGCCGTGACCATTTTTGCCACCGTCGTAGTATAAAAAATGGCTATAGGTTCGTTTTCTATAACACGTGTACAACAATACGTGTGAGAATAGACTTTTACCTAGCAGTAGGCACTTATAGGCAAACTAGCTTCTGCCCGCGACTTCTTACGCTCAATCCCGTTTTCTCCCGTTCCCATAACATTTTCAGGATTTTTGTCTATCATAAGAACCTTATCCTGACAATAAAAAACACAACAAAAAAAAAATCAGCCGAAAAGAAAAAAGTCCTAAAAATCCTACGGGAACGGGAGAAAACGAAATTGCGCGTACGATGTCGCGGGCAGAAGCTAATTAGCCTATAAGTGCATACTGCTAGGCAAAGCCTCTTCTCACACGAAGAAGATTTGAGCATTAATCCCGTTTACTCAAAGCGGGTTGGCGATTTCAAACTTATAATCGGAAATTACAAGTCAAGGTTCCTCACGATGTTTTCATTCACCGTTTGTCAGTGGTGTCTAAATAATCTTTAAAAGTACCTACATATAACTCGGAAAATGTCACGAATGAGAATCGGGCGTTTTAAATTTTCGAGACACCACGACATTTTGTTTTTTCCTATTATATTACAAGTGTTCTATTAATATTCTATGAGGAAAAGTAACATAGCTTCATCATTCACGCGTTGGTTGAATTTCAAGTAGCTCTGCAATCGATTTTATTTTAAGGACCATTGCCTCGCAAGATTTTTTAAAGTATTTTACAATAGGTTTAGTTATAAGTGGTTTGGTAAACTAGAATTGTTTTAGATGAGTAAGGAAAAAATTATTGTAACAAATAATTATTTTGCTGACAAGTTATCATTTACATTTACTTGTAAGACTATCTATATACATATATTTAATAAAGTCGCAGGAAAGTGAAAACTGTACATTAAATTTTTTTTTTTAAAGAATGCTTGAGGCGTCATCTACAATCGATACCGAAGCCAAAAATATGGTTTCTAGAATTTTTGTCTGTTTGTCTGTATGTATGTCCGTGTTAAAGTCAAAGAGCACTGTATGGATTTACTTTAAATTTTGAATGAATATTACTAACATGTCGGTTCCACATATAGCTACATATTATCACTTCTACGCGGACGAAATCGCGGGCACAGCTAGTAAGGTATACGCACACACTTTGTAAGCTTATACTCTTGTTATCACTAAATATATATGTTTTTGTATATTATTACGTCACCAAAACATTATCATCAAGAAATTTTAACATATGGCACAATGAAAAAGAAAGTGTCTTGCTTAGATCTGCTGCAGTCAAACATATAAAATTTTTATATTATAGCTCTGAAACATCATAAAAATATAGTTACATTACGTTCAGTAACATTTTGCTCTTGACTTCCTTAATGAAGCAAAGACTCGTAATAGAAATTATGAAAGTGGTACTGACCTTCAATTTTTATGTTCCGTAACTCCGCATCCAGTTCACATTGAACCTCCTTCACCGCAACTTCATTCTTCATATGTCGAACACTTTCTTCAGATGCTGATGTGCTTGAAAACACAATCAATGATTGGTTTTCTTTGGGAATCTTGACCCTCTTCGGTTTCTCCGGAGGGCAGTTGTTTGAGCATGTTGTCGATGTTGATGGAGCTGGTTCGCTCAGTGCGTCCATCAGGTTGTATGGAGCCGTCGGTGTAGGCGTTAGTGGTTTTGCTGCTGTATCATGCACCGGAGTATTGTCAGGGATGGAAGCTTCTTCTGTAAAAGACATTTCTTTTTATGGTAATCTATAAATATAAAAATGAAACCCGTTTCCCGTAGTAACGTCCCGAGTACAGAGTAACCCGCGATTTTAGTTAATACTAATAAACTAATAATAAAAAAAGCATGAATATCCTATGGGAACGGGAGAAAACGGGATTGTGCGTACGAAGTCACGAGCATGAGCTAGTGTGGTATATAATAATGGTGTTGGTGTTCACTATCCCACCTCAAAGTAAGTTAAATCATTATCGTTATGTGGATGGTTTTATTGCTCTGTAAGCTACTTGAATATTTTCCAATTCTTCCATACTAATAACTGTCAATTGTCAATTTTAATAAATACAGTTAAGAATTAACTGGTGATTGATAAATCGATCCTTAATAAGCATCAGTGACATTGATTAGTCTCACAAATTAATCCATATATCCCCAAGCGGTCACCGATGACCACTCTCCACTAACTATATTATAGACCTTATTTCCAATGTTTAAAGACTACTTTTGGATGAACAAATTAAGGGTGTGATCTTCAACAATTTCCAACCAATTTTCAACAAGTGATTATGTTAAAATACTGTACAAATTAAAGAGAAACACTTGCTTTTATTGTAGATTGTAATAAAAAGAAAAAATAATAGTGTGTTTATAGTGTCAATCATACGTAAACAACCAAGAAGACAAGGATTTTGAAATAAACTTACCCAGTTTAGAAATAGCAATATTGAAATCTGTAATAAGATACATGTATTCATCAAGTTGTTTCATGCAGTTCAGGAATCTTTCCTTTAGCTCATTTGGGTCACAGTTGAGCTGGTGTGCAAAGCCATCAGTCTGTAACAGTGGGAATGAAGAAACTGAATGTGGAGTTATACATATTAGCTTATTAAAAGGTGCATTGCTAGGACTATACTACAAATGGATGTATGGTTAAATATAACCCGTATATACCCAAGTGGTCACCGGTGACCGCTCTCCACTTACTACATTATAGACCTATTTCCAATGTTTCAACAGTTTTCTAACTAAACTAAAGACTAACTTTTGCAAATGGTTTCCCGGGTTCTTAAGGGATAAAAGTAGCCTATGTGAGATTCCAGTCCATAACTACCCCTGTTCCAAATTTCATCTTAATCCCTTCAACTGTTTTGACGTGAAGGAGTACGAACCAAACTAGCATTTATAATATTAGTAGGATGGTCATACATTTAAATATTTGGTGTTAAATACAATTTTAAATATTTATTGTTTTTTAACTTTTTGAGTACCGTCATTCTAGACACAATTAAAGAACAATAGGTTGCGGTCACCGGTGTCCTCATGGTGTTTGACAGTTTAATCTGCTGCTTTTAACTTTGTTGGATACATTCTTAGTGAACTGAATGGTAATTAGTATAATACTAGCTATTCTATCATATTGGAAATGTGTTTTCCCATATCAATTGGGACATTTAATTATTCTAATTGAAAATAAATTGAGGCCAATAAGAATACATTTTGTCAGCAGCCCTACTCTGCTCACGGGTGTCGTAATAATTACTGACTACTTATTACGCAAAAAGTAAACCTAACAAGTATCTCATGTTTAGAACTTTAATAAGTATGCTTATTTTTATGTTACGACATTCTGACACAAACTCCAGGGATCAGGTAACGAGTTAACGTTATATTCTACATTTACAGTTTCGCACAAACTTGAGTATGTGAAAAAAATATTGTTTTACCTTCAGTTTTAACCTTTTTATGTCTTCTACCGCGCGATCACATTTCTCGTGAAAGATTTGTGTTCGCGCCTCCATTTCTTGACGCCGATGCATCGTCAGCGTTGCCAAGTCTACGAAACTCCTAAAAGAAAGTAAATATAAACAATAATGATTACAAGTTTCGCAAACAGCGAAATAAAATTTAGAAAGGCATATGAAAGTACTTACATATTGAATTGTTTTAGCTACTGCTGAAGCTAAACTAAGTCCAAATTTTTCAGTGCTAAGTTAAGTCTGTGCAATTTTCACAATTGCATTTCTATACTAAAAGAAACTTAGTTTTTTAGTTTTTCTCAAGTAAAAATTTGGACAAAAACAAACGGCCCGTGTTCACCTGAGTGAGGCTGACCACAGACTAAAAATTTAAAAACAAGTTGAGATATGAATGAAAGTTTTGAATGAACGAAATCAGCTCATTGAGAATAAATTGTTTTTAAATGATTTAATTACATTTTCAATTAAGAGGCGTAATTAGTTACATTGTAATCATTATTAAATATAATTATGAACGTAATAAAATTTTCTTATTTTACCTTACCAATGTAGTGACATCTATACGTGGATATATGATTTTGGTTTCTGTTTATATCTACTCGTTACTAGAGGGCACTGTACGTTACGTGTTTCGTGATTGAGTCTATTCACCGCTAGATGGCTATACTATGATTATCTATAGGATAAATTATAATTAATGTAATGCGACCTTTGTTTTACCTTTACTTTGATTTATGTTTATTCAGTTTTCAATCATTAAAATATAAAGTGGATTTTTTTAAATATTCTGTCTCCCGAATTATTTACTACCCGCCTCGTTGTTCGAGAGGTTGGAAGTGCGACCTTCGGCAGCAAGCAATAGATCTTGGGTTCTGTTTTCGGATCTTGCCCGGTACATGTCAATTAGCTTACCCCCTTCTGGCTTTTACCTATATGGGATAAATTGGGCATAGTACACTGTACAACGGGACTCGGAATCAACCACAGAAATATAAAAACATTTATGAAACATTTATCTACTTGTGAAGTGGATCTTTGCTTACCCTTTACAGGGTCTAAGATCATGACATATTAGGTATGTTACATTGTCAAATTCTAAACTAACATTACATTACACACTAACATTTGAATTGATTCCGAAAACACATATCTACTTATCTGCTGCCAAAAATAAAAAGACCAATAAGACTTTAAATTAAAAACCTTTATAAATGTCATTCCATACAATGTAATAGTGTATTTACGTACAGTAAAAAAGGTAGTAAAAATAGCCGTACAGCAGTGGTATTCATTAAACAGACAGCGGGCGGGTTACGCACTACGTTTCAATTAAAAGGGCCAACAACTAAACAACGTCCATATAATAAATTCAGTGCACCCCGCACCGCGCACCACTAATTGGATTCAGAAGCTCAAGGAACCAATTAGAGGGACAGAGACAGAGATACAAAGGGGGTTTCTACACAACGAGGGAGGGAGAAAGAAGATGGGGTCTGCTAAATTCCAAAACACCTCCAGAATTGGCTAGACCGTTAAAAGTTTTTCAGTGCGAACTTTCTTTTGGTTAGTGTTAGTTGGAGTGTGAATGTTGCATGTTGCTGGTTGCTAACGAAATTTTATTGCGAATGCCTTTCTTCAATTGTTTCTTTTTTTGTCTTTCTTGGTTCCTGATTTTAGTGGTGGATGTGTTCTGCTTGGTCTGGGAGTTCTTGGACCGTTATTGTCATGGTCGTGTTGATAGCTTTCTTTAACCTATTGTTACGGATGTAGAAACATACTTTATCCTTTCTTCTTCTTCATCGTCACGCAATTGCGTCAATTGTGCTCGTCACGTCATGTCAGGTATGGTAGTAGATAAGCTTTACAATAAGTCACTTTTTCTTACGCACCGCGGCTTTTTTTGTACACTCGTAAAATAGCTGAATACAGAAGACACTTTTTTTTATGGGGGGAAATCATCGTATGACTGCTCCCGCCTGGGTGAGGCGGGAGGGAGTGTCAGACTCTTACTGACTAAAAACCACCCCGTTCCTTCTCCTGCACGTCGAGCAGGAGCCCCGGTTACCCGTTAGGTTCTCCGCGACAATACAGACACTAGAGTAAGTAATCTATGAAATACTTACTCAAGTGTCAAATGTTTTCAGCTGTCCTACCCTAATATCTTCTATCATTTACAAGACCTTACAAGTAAGAAGAATATCATATCATTATTACCTCCATCCCTGCAAAGCTGCAAGGTATGTCAATGTCCGGAGCTGCGGATGACGTAGCGGTTACTAGGGCTTCGAGAATCGGGGTGGTTTGTAGTACTTTTTAGTCAGTAACAGTTTGACACTCTGAAAATCGTTGGATCGCCTCCCCCCCTCAAAATGGTATGGTAATGTTGATACTTGATACCTAAGTCAAAGACTCTGCAGTACTTGCAGATGGCAAGAACCTTACATTCTTTTTCGTGCCTGTAACCCAAGCTATTATTGGGGTTGGCACAATATTATGCGCAATTTTAGTGGTTCATCACTGGTCCAATTCAGCAGTGTTAAGATGAAATTAAATAAAACATTCGAGTGTAAATCGGAGCTATCAGCTGGAAAACGCAGGCACATTAAAGTGAAATCTTTCCATGGTCGACAGGGCAGGGTCGGACATATCGCATTTGGACGTCATTATCGCGTTATGCAGCGCGTATCTGCCAGCAATTCCCCGCGTCGCTCCCGGACCGGGCTCCGGGCCGACATTGCCGCCGTCCGACTGTCGGACTGCCGGCTCGCGGCGTCCACGAGCTGTTATTACCGGCGGGCGGGGCGTTTAACTCAATTTGAGGTAATACTCTGGGACAGATACTTACTCTGATCGATGCTAATAGCTTTTATTGATATAGTCTAGGTGTTATTAGTTCACTAGTGGCCAGCAATCCGGTATAGTTAGCCGTCGTAAATAACGTTAATATCACACTTTGACGCAGTCGTGAGACCCTCAAATTGCCGCCTGTTGTGCATTTTGAGTTATTTGATAATTCATAGGCGATCAGAGTGGTATATTATGTGCCGTTTACTTGGCTAACTGTATTTTCCCTTCGTGCTGGGTGTGGTTAGAAGTGTCGGCGGCAATGAGATAATTCACACGTGTTCGTCGTTAGGCGGCGTGTGTAGATTGACGCCTCGTATTATTCTGTTACTTTGTTAGACGAAGGAGGTTGTTATGCCGTGTTGACACGAACTGCGGGACGAGGTAAAGGACTAGAAGTTAGTTACGTTAATAGTAACTCTTTTTGAGAGATTGCACTACAAGCGGTGCCGGTAGATTATAGAGGTATTTACTACCTATTACGATTCATAGCAGAAGTTCCACTTGTCTACGACGCGTTGTGTCTAAGTGCCATCAGATCCCCACCGATGGGTCTCACTAAGGCCGATACCAGGGGCTTGCTCTTGAATCCAATTCGATTGATCGACATTGGTATTGTGAAATTACGCACTCTTGAGATGCAACACTAGCGCACATGGCATCCATATTGCGTGGATTTTGAAGAACTAAGTGGTATTGAGTTTGGCTTTATATTTCGTACTCTGAATGCTATTTTAACAGCTATATAAGGGTTGTATAGTTTTGACATTGAATAATTATTGAGATTTTATTGGATTGATATAAAATTAACATTGAGATTGGTTTCAAGAGTAAGCACCCTGACCGAGGTGGTGGGTCAAATGTAATGACACATGCGACCCGGCTCGGAACAGGAGTAGGAACAGGGTGGTTTTTAGTCAGTAAGAGTCTAAAACTCACTCTCGCCTAACCCAGGGCGTTAGGAGTCATTCGATGATTTTCCCCTCCTAAAAACCAAGTCTAACCAGTCAACCATCAAGCAAATTAAGCTTTTTCAAGGGCTATATCACCGAAAGACTCAAAAATCACAAAAAAATGGTATAAGTTTGAAATCGCCAACCCGCAATGAGCAAGCTTGGCGATTAATGCACAAGCCTTCTCCGTGTGGAAAGAGGTTTTGCTCAGCAGTGGGAATTTGTAGGCTGTTGATGTATATCACTGAAAAAAGTATGATGTGTATTAAAATTTATCTATTTTCGCTTCTAAATTATTACAAAGCCTATTTACCCAATGCTCTTTGAGACCATTAATATAAAATACTAGCTACTGCCGCGCGGTTTCACTCGCTCTGCTCGGCGCCTATTAATCGTAGCGTGATATTTTATAGCTTATAGCCTTCCTTGATAAATAGGCTATCCAACACAGAAATAATTTTTCAAATCGGACCAGTAGTTTCGGAGATTAGCGCGTTCAAACAAACAAACTCTTTATCTTTATAACATTAGTATAGATTCAAGTCTTTGGAAACATTTCTAACATTATTTGAAGAATAATTTTATTGTAGGTAGACATATGTATGTATAAGTAAGGCCGGGTAGTCGAGTCATAGCTCATACATACATACATAACTCACGCCTTTTATCCCCGAAGGAGTAGGCAGAGATGCACATTATACTACTGTACAATGTAACACCCACTTTTCAATATTTATGTTATGAGTCCCATGTAATAGGGGGTGAGCGTATTGCCATATACCGGGCACAGTTCCAGACTCCGTGGTACTAATGATAATATTTAAAAACCCAGTAATACTTTGCCCGACCCGGGAATCGAACCCGAGACCCCTTGCCCGGCAGTCACACTTACGACCACTTGGCCAACGAGGCAGTCATAGCTCATAGCTGTTTAATCATAAGTAAATAATATATAGGTGCGCCCACGCACTTTAAGTAGGCGTCGCGACAGTGGTTAACTTACAGTTTACAATAACGAAGGAATAATAAATTGTTTAGTAAAATTTCCATATTTATATAAAATATGTTCATTAATTAAAGTATTATGTATTTTGTTTGAATGTAGATAATTTTTGTTATTTCTTTTTCCTTTTTGGGAAGTATCTAATGAAATATTGTAGTTCTAACTTAGTGGAAAATTATTTAATGAAATACCTAGAAATTAAAATTGTTTGCTGTACCTAGTGTCTATTTTTGGAACGCCATTTTATTATTAAACAATCTTTATAACTTAGAAATAAGACGTAAGTTAGC